AAACTTAAAAATTGAAGAGGAGACTGAGAAATATCAAAGGATAGAAAGATAGCAATCTCCAATAAGATGAAGGGGGCTTGCTTCACTTTTCTTTCTATAACAAGGAAAGTACACCAAGTAATTACCAGAGTTATTACTTCAGGTTGGAAGTAATGCTGCATATTGATTCAAAGCAGCATATAAATGATCTAAGGCTAAAACATCTTGAAATATACTAACTAGGAGTTATTCTCCCAGGGTAATTTAAGAGTTGGATAGATCTTAAAATTTGCTTCACTCACTAGTTACTCATAGCATATCAAACTCGGGATAAAATTGGCATCGTACTTGATAGTGGATGTGGAATCATGATCACTTAGAGTTTACCCTATGAAATAAAGATCCACAATGACAATTCTTGTGCATTCAAGTAATCTCTGCGTTTAGCATGGTAAATATAACCCAGTGTTTCATTTTAACACCCAATCCTAGGCATTGCTAAAGGCACTTCTGCTTGCAACATGGCTGCATAAAGGACTCAAAGGACCACATGCTCAATCATTTGGAGAGAAATACAAAACTCCAAAACTAGGAGAAGACATGGCCCCTCGAAGCTTGCAGTTTGGCCCATAAATACTTCTAAAAATGGTTATGACATTGTAGTGATTAACGTGGCAAATTGTTAAACCGGAAAAAAAATCATATTCATTACATTTCATTGTGATAATTTGATTTAAGTAAAATTTAGCTCTCTTATCTCTTTCCTACTATTGAAATATGACCTTCAGTGTACCATTTAAAGGACAACTAACATCCAATTGTTAATAATTTAAACAAACCTGAGATAGGAGATATTCCAAAACAAAATTGTTTTCTGTTTTGGAACTTGGCAGCCCAGAGACTCCCAGAAGCCTCTTTTACTACAACCATTGCAACTTGGTGATATAATTTCCCAGCATTTTAAGGCAGGAAACATATGGAAGCTATACCATAAATCTTGAATTAGGGTTAATATCTTTACTAAATTAATACCCCTGTCCTTCCAAAAGTTCTACTCTAACTTAGGGAATGTTATCTAGGCCTACATACGTGACAAAGCCTTTCCTGCTTTGCATCATGACTCTGCCTATTGCAGTCTTCACTTCTCATAAGGACTTTCCAAAGATTGTCAAGATATAGTTTTTCACAGTCCTATTTCAGATTCTGAACTTTGGTCATGAGTTTGTCAAATTCAGAATTTACAGAGAACTCTGGATAGTTTAAGAGCAGTTACTTCTACACTGCTCTTCTTAACTGCACCAAAGAGAAGCAGAGCCCATGTAAGTCTGAACCTTGGGCATACTCGTGCATGTTGTACTAAACCATGGTTTAGTATTACATCCCTAAAGCCTTGATTTCTCTCTGCTAATGTGTATCACAAAGGGACCTTCATACATCAGTCATAGGTCTAGCCATCACGTTTATGATGGGGGCAATATAGCCACATCATAAGTATTGAGAATCTTAAAGAGTCCAAGCAAAAAGCAGAGGCCATTCTCATAATGAATTATACTATTCCCTGAATGGGGGAACTTCATCAGACTTCCTCATAGCATAGGTAAGAACGTTTAAAGTCTGATTCCACCATAAAGTAATTGCAGTCTCCCCCAAATGGCTCCCAAGCAGTCACACACACACATCCAATTTGTAAAGGGGTGGTAAAATGTGGGGACATATTTTAGCTGAGCATTAAAAGTGGGATCAAAATAAGTTTAGTGATTGAGCATCTGGGGTTTTTTTAAAGCAGAATGCCCTAGCTTTATGTCTGCTCTGCTTAATAGGATTATATCTAGCTCACGACAGGAAAGATCTCAGTTCCAAGAGATCCACTGCTAGCCAAGATAGCCAATAGGCTGGATAGAACAAGAGCTGATCTTGATATAAGTCAGCTTTCTATTCTTCTGTCATGCCAAGAAAAGAGACAGACTGTAATCAGGTGCCTGATCTATGAGCACTCTAAATGAGCTTGGTAGGTGAGGTGGGAAAAAAACGTGCTAAAAGAAATCCCATTGAAATAAATAGAAGTAGGTGAAGAATTGTGGTCTAAACTAGCCTCACCCAAATGAAATCATTGAGTTCATTTCTAAATCTGCAGGTAACCTGCCAGCATAGCAGCAAAATAATAAATTGGTGGATCTGATCTCCAGATAGCTGAGTAGTTATCGTAATAACTCCAGTGCCTCATTTCGGGGTAAGCTCTTACCAATATCTGCCTTCAGCTCCCATTATGATTTTGAGATCTGTCTTCTACAACGTGACAAAGGCCATGTTTCCAAGATATCTGTTAGATGATTAGCTCTCAATGCCCTACTTCCATTAAAAGAAACCATTAAACATTGCCTAAGAGTTACCCTCCTTTTTTGCTCACTCTTTCCATCCCCCCCTCCAATCATCCTTCTTAAACCTGCTGGTTCATTCTTTGCTTTAAAGACATGGTTTACATTCACAAAATATATAAAGAAAACTATAAGGTTACTGGATGAGCATATAGTGCTGCAGCCTGACAGCTGTCTGCAAATATTTTCACCATGATTATCCTTACTAAAAGTAAATCACTGGGTAAAGATAGCACAAACGTGACAAGGCTCAAATTGGATGTAACCAACACTATCTGGAATTCTTTTGGCTACATATGGAAAAAAAAGGGGGGGAGGAATTGGGATGCCCCCCTCCCTCCCACATTGGAATTACAAGCAGGGTAGGGAGAAAAAATGAATGTCCCTTCCCTGCTGGTCTTGTAAGGAAACTGGCTTACAGAATAATTGACTGAGGTAGATATTAAAGGAACATTTCAGGGAATGAAATGAGAAAACTACAACCTATAAACCATTTACAGTATAAATGTTTAATTAAAGTCAATATGACTACTTCAGAGTGAACTGCTATGCAGTGTTTCTCAACCTTGGCCGCTGGACGATGTGTGGACTTCAACTCCCAGAATTCCCCAGCCAGCTCTGGGAGTTTGAAGTCCACACATCGTCCAGCGGCCAAGGTTGACAAACACTGTGCTATTGGGACATGCTCAGCAGGAACCCTTATTGCAGAGGCATGACTAGTGGGACAGGATTTCTACCATAGGCAAGCACCTATTTTGCAGTCCATGGCTGAAACCACTGAATTACAATGATGGGATTATCCACTTAAAAAAAAAAAAAGTCTATTAAACCCCCCAATAGGTTTAACCTATTTTTTTCATATTTAAAAAGCAACCTCCATTTCTTAAAAGGCCAAATAGTTTATTCCTCTGCAAACCTCAGTAGCCTCACATGTGTTTAATCTGCCCGCAACCCCAGTTGGGAAAAGATGACCTTCGACTGGTGAAGTGATTCTGTACTGAAAGAGTGGCATCATAAGCTGGTTTCTGATATTTTGTAGCATTTATGGAAACCATTTTTAAAGGACTGGTTAACCCGTTTTAAAGGAAGGTTGACAAAATCCGAATACGTCATCCACCGTTCGTTCACTGCAATGCTGAAGCAGGAACTTTGGCTTGTTCCTATCTGAGGAAAACTCATGAGAACATGAGAGTTCCTGGTTCAACATGCACAGTTAAAAAGGGGGGTGGAAACATAGATGAAATTACCTAGTTCAGTGATGGCTACCATTTTCTGGACCGAGTGCCCAAAGTGCACACCCAAACCCCCAAAATGCAATGCGCACGTGGGCCCCGTGCATATGCCCCACCCACACGCATCTGCATGTGCTCCCCCACACCCTACACCCCGCACATTCACAGCAGAGACTCGAAGACCAGCTGGACAGTGGGAGGCACGCGTGCATGCACAGTGGAGCTGAACTGGGGTGACGGCTCGTGTGCCATCAGAGACAGTGCTGCATGCCACCTCTGGCACACGTCCATAGGTTCACCATCACGGACCTAGTTTGTTAATCACCTCATTGAAAGGAAGAGCTAAATATGCTCATTTAAACAGCACTTCTGAAAAAACAGTGGCTTACGACTATGTGGAAATCTGGCCTGAAAGAGAGAGATTGTCAAGTGTTACTAAAACCATGCGTTTGGTAATTCTTGACTTATGACCAGCAACCATTCAAAGTTCTAATGGCACTGAAAAAGTAACTTACAACTAGTTCTTGCCTTTTTGAACATTGCAGCGTCCCTACAGTCATGCGATCGTAATTCAGGTACTTGATAGCCAACATGCATTTACAGCAGTTGAAGCATCATGTGATTGCCAGTTGTGACTTTCCCAGCTGCCTTCCGTCAAGCAAAATTAGTGAGAGAAACTGGATCCACTTAATGTGTGATTTACCTAATGACTGCGGCAAAAAAAAAAAAAGGTGGTAAAATCAGACGCAGTCATTTGATGGCTCACTTAATGATTGGAAGTTCTAACAATGGAAGTTCTAGTGCTAACTGGGGTTATCAGTCCACTACCTATAATATCATTCCATTTAAAAGATGGTTTGTGGTCTTTAACACAAAGGTTCTTCATTGTAACCTATTCCAAAATGTGAGTGGCTGAAAGAAGAAAATGACCACGCTGTATCTAAGTCGAACAATGAGTAAAAATGTCCAAATGTTGCTTTGTACTATTAACATGGCAATCCTCATTCTCACAATGCTGAGGATTTAAGTCTAGAACTTGAAAAGGGCCTACCTAGAGTGCAATTCATTATGAACTCCTGCCATGCAACCTCCAGAGATTTTCAATCGGTTTACTCCTACTTTGCCTGGTGGCTTCTGCTCTACAGGCCCCAGAGGGATTGAATGCAAGAAAGTTCAAAGTTCAACTGTAGCAGAGCTAAAAAGAGCATTGCAGGGCGTACATCAATGCTGCAGTTTCTGTAGCAGAAGTAAATTGACACCATTTCTATGAACTAACGAGGCTGCACAAAAGGAGGTCAGAGATGCTATACGTTCCTATAAGCTGGCATCAGAACTGAGGAAGTTTTGTCGAGCGTAAGGACTAAAACGTTCGCTGGCAGTCTTAACTGGTTAAAAACAATGTTTTTTTTTAAAAAAAAAAACACAATTTAATGTCCACTAACAAACATTGTACAATGCACAGAGCAGTGCAAAGCATATAGGAATCAGATTTCACATTTAAAAAGTCATAATAGCAGCACACCTGTGATAACTTACCCCAAAACAAAGATAAGATTAAATAAACCACAATGCAAGAGTCTTCTACTGTTACACTGTGTAATGAATAGCTTAAGTTGGAGGTTTGGTTTTGTAGAAGGTTGTTCTTTCTTTCATTTCTTTTCTTTTAGGAATTTTTTAAAAAAACGATCAGAACTATAAATAACTTTCTGGCAATATATACAGATATCAATAATTTAAATATGTTACATCTACTCTTGCATAAAACTCTCAAAGAAAAGTGCACCATAGATTTCACCCCCTCCCTCTTCCATTCTCCCGAATTGGGCCTTGCCTTTTCCTTTTGCCCTGAGGTAGCTCTGAAGGGATAGTCCTCAAATCCTGGGAAGAAAATGTGTGACTGTCATGGTGGGAGACACTTTGTTGCCTTTCTTGGTTCTTCCATTTTTGCTCAGGGCCATGTACATCCCAGGGTAGATCTGGGACTCATAGGCATTGTAGTTGTTCGGCAGCAGAATCTCTTTGAATTTACACTCATCACCAAAATGGCTCTGAAATGAGAGTGGAGAAGGAAGGGAAGAGGATAGTGAGAGTAAGGGAGAAGTTAGATGCAAAAAATGTCTTTGTGTATATATACAAGGAAAATACACCTGAGCACTTGCCTTCTTTTTTGTGCTCTTTTCAACTTTATCACACAACTCTAACTTCATAAAGTCTTTCAGATGATCTTATCCCATCCTAGTTCCTTCCAGTTTACAGTCTATAATTTTCATCTTCCCAGAAAATGTCATCCAACACTTATGGAAGACATTGAACTGGAGAAGGCTGAGGTAGACAAAAACTACGATCAACATTTACCAGTCCATCTGAGGACTTCATTACATGGAAAAATTGAATTTCAATGATGGAATATTTGCCAAAAAGACCATAGTGAAATCTTGGTATCATCAATAGGTTAAGGATAGATCTTGTCTAATCAAGAAAAGCAATAGTGCCCTAGATTGGTCAATCATCAGATTTGGTAATTTGATCTAGGGAAGCTTCCTACGTAAATGATGATATATCAGATAATATATATATACCCCACATCTTGGTTCCATTCATTTGTTTCTCTAAAATTATCACTGTTCACAATTTTCACAAGTATCTCACTTTCATCTTTCTAAATACACCCGGGTATTTATCATGCAAGATTTTATCTTTTTCCCCAGAAATATATTTTTCTAATTATGCAGGTCAGTCTCCAACAAAAATAATTGTCTGTTTTACTCAAATTATGATTAGCTGGATCAATGAATGTTAGTTTCATCTTTGTTCATTCCTATACAGATTTCATTTTTAATGAAATTAGTGTATATGCCCAAGCATATACCCAAAAATGCATATTGAAGATGATATAAATTCAAATTTTCCTTTTAAATGCATCCTTCTTACATTTTGTTTCAACCAAGACCTGCATTTTAGTATTTGAAAAAAAAAATGAGTTCAGAGAAATAATTACTGTATATTTCAAATCACACAAGAGCAGCAGGCACAGATTATGTCAATTCTCATCAAAATTCACAAAGATCAATCGCTCAAACATACAGGTAGTCCTCAACTTACAACAGTACATTTAATGACCATTCAAAGTTGCAATGGTACTGAAAAAAGTGACTTATGACAAATTTTCACACTTACAGCTGTTGCAGTATGCCCATGATCATGTGGTCAAAATTCAGACACTTGGCAACTGACTCATATTAATGACAGTTGCAGTGTCCTGGGGTCATGTGGTCAGTTTTTGCAACCTTCTGACAAGCAAAGTCAACGAAGAAGCCAGATTCACTTAACAACCATGTTACTAACTTAACAATTGTTAGAGATTCATTTAACAACTGTGGCAAGGTTGTAAAATGGGGCAGAATACATTTAACAACTGTTCCGCTTAGCAACAGAAATTTTTTACTCAATTGTGGTCGTAATTCGAGGACTACATGTACTTATCTTCCTGCCTGTTCCTTGATCTGGAATAAGAAGAGAAGCCCAAAACTGTTCACTTAAACCAGGTTCAGCACTACGTCTTCCTCTACACTGGTTAAACTCTTGGGATTAACAGCAGCATTATTTTTTGAAGCAGAATTTCCCAGCCAAATTTTACGCTTGTCTAGAGTGATCACATTCCACACACAGTGGTGGGATTCAAATTTTTCTATTACTGGTTCTGTGGGTGTGGCTTGGTGGGCGTGGCAGGGGAAGGATACTGTAAAATCTCCATTCCCTCCCTACTCCAGGGGAAGGATACTGAAAAATCCCCATTTCCTCCCGATCAGCTGGGACTCGGGAGGCAGAGAATAGATGGGGGCGGGGCCAGTCAGAGCCACCGGTTCTCCGAACTACTCAAAATTTCTGCTACTGGTTCTTCAGAACTGGTCAGAACCTGCTGAATACCACCTCAGATTGAGAAGACTCTCCTAAAATCTTGAAGTAGCCCAATAACACACTGCAATACCACCCCCCCACAACCAATGATTATCCCCTTTTATTTCTGATTGTGGATAAATCGTTCACATCATATTCTGAATAACATTTCAAAATAGTTTTATGAATGGATTTCCCAGGTTTCACGGTCTAAATATGGCTGAATCTCAAAACATGTACAGTACACCTTTATTTCCTGCTTTCCACTCTAATTAGTGTACAAGGCAACCTAATCTGTACACACCCTATAGCTTCTCTCTCTTTTTCCCCTTCATCTCCCCTTCGGTCAATTTGATTTGATTTAAAAATTCTTATTAATTATACTGTTTTTAATGGCTCCCAGACTTTTAAACTGGTATGTGCCTGAAGCTCACAGTATTATCATAAGATATAATATAGAATGAAAATTAAAGCACAAAAACAAATACATTGAAAATACTTTTTATTAATTGAGATTACATATATTCAAATAAAAATTTGAAACACAGAATGTCTATGGAATATGCTCTACAAAGATGCGGGTAGGTAGACCCATCCTTCTTTTAGGGTAGACCTATCCATCTTTTAGGATAGGATTCCCCTCCCCTCTTTTAAAACTAAACTCAGAGAATTGACTGTTTTAAGAGTGTAAGATGCATATACTTTTCTCTAAAGGGAAAGTCTCCGCTTACATAGAGAGCAGTAAAGCCCTCAGATATTTCCAAGCATGGAAAATCTTCAGGCAGCTGCCTTAAAAATGAAGGGGGAGGGACACATCTTTATGTTATATTAAGGATGATTTGAAGAAGACAAGATACCTTTCCCCTGAGTGCTACATTTTCTCCAAGAAAATTATGGGGAGCTACTTGCTGGAGCCACAAGTTCTTTTTTCTCACTTTTAAAAATATAATTTTATTTTTTTTAAAAAATTTTTAAAACAGGACTAAACATTAATAGAAACTAAAATTAAGTAAGAAGGAAACAAAACAAATGAAAGAAAAAAGGAAGTGCAAAAAAGTAGAAGAAAAAATAGAAAAGAAACCAAAAAGATTTTTAAAAAGTTGTTTCCAATCTTTATAAGAGTTGTAACTACAATCGTACATTTACTTCCTTCTCTAAAATTACAGCATAATGTTTTACTTTCTATAATCTAATCTAGTTAATTATCAAAACCATAGATCGTAAATTCATTTTTTGTTTTATGCTAAAATCTATAAGGAGTTTCTAGGTACCAATAAACATAGATATTGCCTTCAAATGGGTCAATTTGGCCATTTTAGCAAATTCTTTCAGCTTCGCCAACTATTCCTAATATGGCAGTATTATCAAATATTTCCATCAGATTCTTTTTTCTAAATAATTCTCAATGTGCATCATCTTGCTTTCTTTTTCTGCCTTTTCTCTTTCTTCCACTTTTATCCTCATCTCCCTCCCTTCTTTTTTCTTCTCCCCCACAGCCTTGCCTCCTTTGCAGAACATTTATCTAATTTTTTTTTAATGAAAGAGCATTTGTTTGTAAGAAATAAGTATCAGTGGAGCTGTACTCTAGCACTTCAAGAAGAAAGAACCAAATCTTACCGGACTCAAATAAAAATGGACAAAAACAAGGGATTTATAAAGTGATTGCTTGCTGCCAGAAGAAGAAAAATGGTTATGTTACCAGTACTTTTCATATACTGTATGTCAATGTTGCCTTATATACATGAATAATAAAATACCATCTTTTTATACAGTACAGAAATTTGCTTATTCTGGCAAAATACAGTAACTATCCATGATTCTTCCATTGCTATATTCCACAAGTAAACTTTTGGATATGGATGTACCACTATAAAATTACACAGTTGATGGGGACATTGGAAGTTTTCTGGGTCCAACTCCAACCCCTGCCCATGGCAGCTATCTTCATATTATCCCAGACAAATGGCCTTGAACCTTTGCTTGAAAACCTGTAATGGCACAGGGTATGACACCTATGACTCCAGGAGGCAGGCTGTCCCACTGCTTAATAGCACTTCCCAGCAGGAAATTCCTCCATATTCCATTATTTGGCTATCTTTATGTAAAGCTTGTACCCTTGGGTTCTATGGAGAATAAATTCATTTCTCCTATACCTTGCCTGTCAAGTATTAAAATATTGCTATGATTTCTCCCTATATTTTTCTCGTCTCCAGTTAAATGTATCCATTTCCTTTAACAGTTTTTCATAGATTTAGCCATCAAGCCCCTTTGTTGTTCCTCTCTGCATTTTCTCCAATTCCTTGGTATTTTTCTTGTATTATAGTGACTGCATCTGAGCACAATATCTCAGGGATGGGCTGCTGTCCCGTGCAGCAGAGAGCAGAAATATCTTTTCCCGCTATCTCAGGACTACACTTCTGCTGCATTGCATTGGCTCTTTTGGCAGCTGCAACATGCTGCTGGCTCATGTTTAACTTGTGGTTAAGTTGATCATCCTACCAGGATGATCAGATTCATCCTACCAAGCCAAGTACCACCAGGTTGTTGTTTTTTACCTGTGCCACCTGGTTTTTCTGAGTACAGAAATTACATTTATCATAACTGAACTGCATACTGCTTAATGTTCTTTCCAGTGGTGGGTTTCAAATATTTTTACTACCGGTTCTATGGGTGTGGCTTGGTGGGCGTGGCATGGCTTGGTGGGCATGGCAGGGAAAGGTTACTGCAAAATCCCCATTTCCTCCTGATCACCTGGGACTTGGAAGGCAGAGAATATATGGGGGTGGGGCCAGTCAGAGGTGGTATTTACCAGTTCTCCGAACTACTCATAATTTCCGCTACCTGTTCTCCAGAACTGATCAGAACCTGCTGAAACCCACCTCTGCTTCTTTCTCCATTTACAGAAGAAAGCACACTCAAGCAAAGAAAACAGCAATGTTGTTTAAGGGTCAGGCATGGCAAATCAGTCGTAACCACTCACCTACTCTGAAAGAGTCTGATTATTCTCAATATTATTCTGAAAATTATCAAGAGACAAATAGCTGATTAACTTCTTCATTTTATCTATTTTGGACATAAGCTATCCAAGGACAATTAGCAGAGCTACAAGAAGGAATAGTATTATGGCTTTGCTAAACTGCTTTCTTTTGCTTCCTATATAAAGGAAACCTAACTCATTGAGTAGCAGGTATTTGCCATTGTTTAATTATTGTGTTGCAATCCAAAATTGACTTGACATAGATGACTCCTTTGGCTTGAGGGAGACAAGTGTAAGAAATGTAAGAGTGTAAGAAACTAAGGCAAAGCATTACAGTCTACCACCATTTGAAACTTTCCGTAATCTCAATTTTTTTTATCGCCTGTATTTCAGATTGTTAGTTTGTTTGGAATACAGTCCAATGACTATTTATACTGAGCCCTAAATAAAAGTTATCTACATGACACTGGACAAAGGATGTATCTTTCGATTAACTATTTAAGAAATGATAGGTATATAGAAAATGCAGAAGGAAAATGATCATTGGTGGCAAACTGATATAAATAAAGGAAAGGCTATTGTGTCCAAAGTCTTAAATTATCTGAATGTACAATGCCTTTTACACCCTTAAGATTTAGTCTCACTTCCTTTTAGGCAAATCAGTAAGAAAATACTCTTTCTTTGGCAAAAAAATCTCTGCCTACACCAGCTCATATCAACAGAAGGACTATAATAGAAAGACAGCTGGAAATGACCAAAGGGGGAAAAAAGACTTGTGTTATTTTTAGGAACTAAATAGGCTACAAGAATTGAAATGACTCTCCAACCATTTTTGTTCCAGATTTACAGATTCAAAGAAATTCAGTACAGAATAAAAAAAAAAAAATCTAAAGTAAGACCCTCACAACTAAACTGTCCTTTTCTTCCACTAGGCAGTGCATGAATATATCCATATGTAATTAGTCCTTGTTATAAATTAAACTGCTTTGCTTTTTTTGTCACCTAGTGACAGTTTGCTAAATTCCAGAAAGTATGTCTTATAAAACTTTACGTAGCAAAAGCAAACAAACAAACAAACAAACAAAACCCACATCCCATCGTCCTATTTTTTATTAGTTTGCCATTTTATTTCTGGTCCCTCAAAACTTCGCCATAAAGTTGTAACTTTAAATTGAATAAAGGGGGGGGGGAGTATTCTGTTATAAAACACACAAAAAGGAAGCACAATAACCATTCCATTTGTTTTAGGACTACAGCTCTCAAACTTCTGAACCAGCACAGCCAGTTGCAAAGTAGTAGTCCAAGTGCATTGGAAGATTGCAGAAAATTACAAAGTTGTATCTTACACTTTGCAAACCTATGTGTACACAATGTGCAATCCTTTGATTTCCAAAATTAGGTGATTGCAGTACTTGGAAATATATGTGTATATTAAACAGCATTTTCCTGATTATCAGATAATCTAATATTTCTGCTACAAATATAAAAACATTTTAATTGTAAACTACCTTTTCCTTGCTACAGCTGTTTGTAATGTCCACATCTGGGACAATCAGAGGATTATCCTCTTAATGTGCTTAACAAGCACATCTATTTAATCTATCTACTAAAAGTCTGCAATATTAAAACACTTACTTGTCTTTCTAGTGGCGCCAACTGTGTTCATCAAATAAAAGTACAATTGATATACATTATTTTTAAAAGGTGATTAAAAGTCTTGAGCTGAAAATCTTCATAACTGCTACTTACAGATCCATAGAGTTTGCCTTTGCCGTTCATTGCTACAAAAAGTCCACTTTTAACACCAAAAAGGCTAACCACTCCTCGTTCCACTGGAGAGATTTCCAGCAAACCTTTAAGAGAAGAAGAATGCATTAGAAACAAACGAGGTATAGGATTACATGCAATCATAAATCATTTGAGTAAATAATATCCTACTAATTCTATTACTCTTTAAGCTATGTCAGTAGAACCATACCAGTAGACATGCCTCTTGTGGCATGTGGCATGCAACAGCTATTCAAAAGTTCAGGAATTTTTATGTGTATCTTGCATTATGGCCTTGTAGACACCTATATTAGGAAGCAAACATCAAACTATTAAGATTCAGAAAAGTTCCACTGAGCTTCGGGTTACTCTAGAACAGAAATTGAAAATCTCCAGTTTATCAGTTGGACCATCCAGCCCCAACTGCAAGTCCACTCCAAAACCGTTGCCAGTCTCACAAATTGTTCTTTCTCACCAATCTTTTCAAAACTTCCCTGCAGAAGATGATTGGTTCACTCAAACTTAGAATAAAGGTTGAAGTATTGAAAGCTTTGTTTCCCATCAGCTTACCCATAAGGCTTAAGAGTTGTTGTGGTTGCTATCCAAGTTGCCATCTTGCCATTTTACCATCTGTAGAAAGTCTTGTTTATTCCCCCAATACTGTGGGTATTGGGTGTTGAAGAATGATATACAAGTGATATACAACTACGATAACACTGAAACTTGAGACTAAATGTCACTTGTGGTGGTATAAGCAAGGACCTTCCATGATATTGGTTCAATTCTAGTGAAATTAACAGAATGGAGGTAATGACCACTTCGGAATAACCATTTTCCATTTTCTTTGCAATTGTCAACCATCTCCTACCCTCTTGTCTTGGGCAGCCCTTCTCACTGACCTGATTCTCACATTGTACTAACAGGGGCAAGACCGTTTTGGTAGGGTGATGGTTGCAATGGGTGGGATAAAGATGTGCAGAACTGAGCTACTCATTTAGCTGGAATCCACATTTTGCTATTTCCATGATATTGCCATTTTGAGGGGAAGAATTTCCAGTTATTCCTCGGTTATTAACTATGTTCCACATATTTTATGTTTATATACTACTACATGTGCTTCCCCACTTTGCAACAACGCGAAACCCTGTCATGATTTTCTGCAAAGCAGAAGAAAAGGCTAGAAAAACACTGTTAATGCATTCCTGTCAGAATTGCCTAATCAGGTTTTATTTAGTGAACCACAACTGGCTGGTTCAAGCATGCTGACTTTAAACCATGATTTGCAAACCACCACTAAGTGGGTACATACATTGCATTGAGACAAACATACCCCACCTTAACAAAATGAATGAATTTAGCCAACTCATAGTTCCATAGAGAATTAAGACCTATGAACAGAACCACTGCAAATGTTACCACTGATTCCTCCCACCACCTCCAAAAAATACGAGTGATTTGCATTGACTTGAACAAGCTACTTTCTATAGACAATATTCCCACATGATAACCCATCTCTATACAGAACAGCAGCTAGCCCCGCTCAGGATATGGCCAACATATTGCTCTACAGTCCCTTGCCTCATTAGTTACAGAGCGTACAATCAGGAGGTTGGTTGTTGCCATGAAAGCCCTCCCTTTGCCTTTGTCAACTAGCTTTTAATGGAGTTTAATTATTCCTGCCTCCTTGATTTTTTAAATAATTTTTAAAAAAACTTTTAAATTTTTTTAGCATTGACATTTTAATTTTTGCAGACTGTCTAATATTGTGATGCTTTGTTTGCCACCCAGAATCCCTCTTTGAGGGAGATGAGCGGGCTCAGAAATGTAATGTAATGTAATGTAATGTAATGTAATGTAACAAATAAACAAATAATAAATAAATAAATAACCATCTAATTTAATTCCTTAGCATGTTCATTAATAGCTTTTCCAGCCCAACTCAGCCAATGGACTGCCTGCTCTTATTTCTTTTTTAGAAGGTGCTTAAAAGCAGCCTTCTCGATCTACCAGTAGCAGTTTCCACATATGTGGAACTGCAAATGACTTGCGCTGGCTGTGACTATTAACAAGGGATGCTGGAGGCCTGACATAGCCGGCTTGCAAAATGCTTCAGGTCTTCCTTCTGCTGTGATTGAAGATCTAGCAGAGATTCCGCCCCCCCTCCCACCACCACCTTACCCAGCTTAAAATAAGTATCGGACATGTTTTAGGACACATGAAACGTTTGTCATGGTGCAGTCTTTAACCCCTCCTCCCGGTCCTATTGTTTCAGTTGGGTGTTAGTTAGAATTAGAGCTATAGGGCCATGGGGTTAAGTCACGAACAGATGCTTTTAGACTATACGGGCTCCTCGTCAGAAGCGGGATGGGACCTTGAATCCCAAATTAACTACTCGGTCAGCCTGTGGCAAAAGCAGGGTGGGACTTAAGAGTAGCTGCTCCCCATAACCCTAACCGAAGCTAGTCTGTTAGACAGAAAAGTGTCTAATATTGTTTAGAAAGTCAAAAGAAGTCCTGCTTTAAATTGACTAGGGCTCAGGTCAGAGGGAATTTCTGGGGGCCAATTCTGAATTACACAGGCAGCGCTACTTCTGTTCTTGGACTGAATTGTGCACAAGGAGCAGCCAGTGCAGTCGAATCACCCAAATATAAAACTGGGGGATTTCACTTGCAAAGATTATGCCACATTCCTTGCCTAACAAACATAGTCGCTACCCCTCAAAGTTCATTCTACTAGTAGTCAGCTGCTACTGTATTCCCAAGAACCACCTTTCTGTGTTTTCCTGGGCCAATATGAGGACCAATATATATATATATATATTTTAAGAGATGAAATGGGTTCCTTTGCTTTGATCGCACCTCTCATTTATTCCAGAGAGATCATCCCTTCGCTCCTTTCAGACCGAATCCCATCCTTTCCCACCCCTAGGAAAATAGCGGGGGAAACGTCACGCAAAACACACACACACACACACACACACACACACACACACACACAGGTTGATTCTCGTCCCTCTGATTTCCGAAGGCTTACCTGGGTAGCTCAAGGCGAGCCAATAACGCGCGCGCGAGAAAACGCTCACCTGGCGTTTTCGGCTTTCTCCGTGGAGCGCCTTCCGGTTCCGTCTCCCGGGGGGGGGGGGTGGGTGGGTTTCCCGCAGTTTAACCCTTTCATTCCCCGGCCGCAGCCGAGGCTGCTTTTTCTGCAGGTCCCTCAACCCCTCTGCCTTCCAAGCTCCTTTAGGCTTTGACCCTCGACGCTGATTGCCTGAAGCGGGGAAGGGGAGAGGTTTGGCGCCTTGCCCTGAAAAGGGGGCGCGGGGCTTCCCTCCTCTGCGAGGCGTTGCCACAAGAGGACGGAAGGGCTCGATCGTTCCGCTGCCCGAGAGCGTCCACCGCGACCAGAAGAAGTTCACCTTCCCGGGAGGGGGGGGAAGAGGGGCACAGAAGCAACCTACCTACCCTAACCAGCGGTGGGATTCAAGCAATTTAACAACCGGTTCTCTGCCCTAATGATTTCTTCCATCAACCAGTTTGCCAAACTGCTCAGAAAGTTCACAACCGGTTCTCCCGGAGTGGTGCGAACTGGCTGAATCCCACTATTGTACCGCACCCTCGGGCCCGTTCACAGGTGGCCCCTTTCCCCGCCTTAGGATCCCGCGCAGTTCTGGGGGTGGGGGTGGGGGGCGCTGGCTGGCCCCCTTTCTGGGGTGTCTCAGCCGAGCGGATCCAGGTGGGCAGAGGCGGCGGGGCGCAACCCCACTTACTGTATCGGTTTTCGTCGTGGATCCCGTTGATCCGGCTGTCCGGCAGGACCTGGATGTGAAACCCGATGCCGACGTTGCAGTAGAGGCGCCTCAGCCTCTTGATGCCCAGCAGATAGTCCCCGTCCCGGCTGAGCAAATTCCTTTCCCCGGCGGGGAGCCTGGCCATGGAGCGCGAGAAGAGAGTCTCCCAGCGCCACTCCAGGGTGTCGTTGTGCTGCTGGGCGAAGACGGGCATGCAGCGTCCCGCCAGCCAGGGCGACAGCAGTCCCAGGAGCAAGGCTGGCCAGCAGGCCGGACAGGGACCAGTCATCCTGAGCGAACGCGGGCGGCACACGTGGTTCCGGGGAGGCAAGCGGCTAAAAATACACCTCTCCGGCGAAACTCCTGCCCCAGACTTAGATCCCAAGAGCGGGGTGGGCTGGGGGTGGGGGTGGGTGCAGGGAAGACAAACAAACAAATATATATATATATATATTTGTATATATACTTTATATATATATATATATATATATGTATATACTCTCTCTATATATACTATACACGAAATATATATATATATATATATATATGTATATATTTCGTAGGTGGGCGGAGGCGGCCAAGTAACTCAGCACCCCGTGGAACTGAAGAGCCGCTGCTTAGATCGCATGGAAGAGGAATCCGGTGCGCAACCGGTGGGGCGGGCTGGCAGCAAAGATCGACTCCGCCGGCAGCTTCTTCTGAACTTGATCTCCGCTTCTGTCAAATGGGGACCTTCTCTGCGCGCTCCCTCATGGCCCTTCTCCCCCGAAACCACGACGTTTATATATCCAGCGGGCCTTGATACCTATTACATCACCACCTACTGCTGCCTACAAGCGAGTTGAACTGGACGCGAAATGATCACCCCGAGATGGTCCATCACAACCAATTGGGTCTTAGAAGTGGGGGGGGGGAGGAGGAGGAGGAGAGGAAGGAGGAGGGAATATATGTCAACTTTAAAAAAAAAAGTACACGATTCTTGGAGAAACTTTCACCTTTCGTGCTCAGGACATGCGAGTCTTACTGGGTGGGTTTTTCCCCCCCTCTTTCGGTTTTGCAAGCGTGTGCAAATGCTACCAATTTAACATACGCACAAACACACATATCAAAGAATGCCCAACACGGCTCTCCCCCTCCATCCTCCTCCTCCTCCCCTCAACAATGTCTGGCTTTGTGGAAAACGCAGGAATTTAAGATTTGGCTCTTTCCAAGAAACATGCTTTAGAGTTTGCAAAGAAAGTAGGGGGGGGGGGGGGAGGGAATCCTTCAGAATAGGCCAAAATAGCTAATGCATGAGAGACTGAAGGCATTTTAAAAAAAATTTTTTAAAAGCCCCCCCTCCTCTCCCCAAAAAAAGTAAAAAAAAAAAAAAAAGGCCAGGTCAAAAATTTGAAAACCAATATTTCCAAAGTGCTCTGTGGTCAGACAAAACAAAAGGTACATCTGAACAGGACCTTAAACAAATGGGAAAGAGGAGAATCCGCCTTTCAATCAAAATGAAACAAGCCCCCCAAAAAATGCACGGAGGAGTTGTTAATAGTGATAAGGAGTGCCGAATTCTCCAGTGATTCATTGGAATGGGGTCTTAAAGATACTTTTGGTATCTGATAGTTTTAAGTTACCCCAGCGTTTCTAAGAGTATCAGACTGACAGCCCATGGAGAAGCTCTTCTCTGGTTACATATATGCTCCGCGGAGTCATTTTTCTGTCTATATGTGTATGTGTGTATATATATATATATAATATCTATATTATTCCTGTGCAGGAGGTCAAGCCTCTTTTCTCTTCTCTTTGGGATTTCTTCCTTTACATGAAAATGAAGAACTTATAACTTCACATATACCTTGCAGCTCATTCTGCTCCTATGGAATTCATCCACAGGATACGAAAAATGTCCATAGGGAGCCAATCAATAGATCCTTCAGCATTTTTAATTCTCACTCCTTGAAAACAAAGCAGAGGAAGGCATGTAAGTAGGTTTACTTGAAAGTAAAGCCTTGGGGTTTGTTTTTTTTATAGGACCTGCCCCTCCCCCCAATTAGCCCTAGTGGAAAGAAAAGAATTCCAGGCCATCTTACAGGGCTGTTGTAAAGACAACCGGTTGAATTCTCGCTGTGTGAAACTACTGTATTTTTTGGAGTATAAGACGCAACTTTTTCCCCCCAAAAGGGGGGTAAAAATTTAGGTGTGTCTTATACACCGAATGTAGCCCTGCCCACCCACTGGCCCCCACCCTTTGGCCTCTGCCTCGCAGCAGTTACCTCCTTGCAAGCAAACAGCCAGAAGAAACGGCTCCTTTCAGCTTCAGCACAGCCTAATTAGCACAAGTTGATTGGATCGGCCTCCCAACTCTCAGTTGATTTGCTCTCAGCTGTTTTGCGCAGGGCTCTGCTGCTTGCTGCGAAGAGGTAAATTGCTGGAGCAGATTTTGTGCTAATCAAGCTATGCTGAAAACGAAAATGAAAGTAAAGCAGGCTGTTTGCTGTTTACTGCAACGAGGCAAAATTGCTGGGAAGCAGAGGTAGATTTCTTTTTCTTCTTTTCCTCACCAAAAAAGATAGGTGCATCTTATACTGCGAAAAATACGATACCTCACAAATCTCCTTTCTGTGATAATGGATTTGTTTTCCCAATATATTGAAGTTCATCCAGAAATAAGAGGCAAATGGAAACTTGCCCTGTTGGGCTCATTCTGTAAATTGGTTCATATCCACTTGGCAGCAGAGAAGATTTGATCTTTCAAGCTTTCAAAGTTGCAAAGGCAAAGTCAGACTCAAGAAGAAGAACCTGAAGCATTTGATGGGATTTTCTCTCTAGCAAAGCTGAAATTAAGCATCACGATGCCTAAATGTAAAGGAGTTTATAAATGCAACTGCACTGTCCCAGAACATATGTAACTTAACTTTAAATCCACAGGGAAATCATTAGGCTTATTCCCATCTCAGAATGTGATTACAGGCAGTCTTCGATTTACAATAGTTCATTTAGTGACCATTCAAAGTTACAACAGCACTGGAAGAAGTGACTTACGACCATTTTTCACCCTTACGACCACTGCAGGATCGTCATGGTCACATGATCAACATTCAGATCCTTGGCAACTGGTTCATATTTATGACGGTTGCAGTGTCCCGGGGGGAGGGGATTCACGGGATCCGTTTTTGCGACCTTCTGATGAGCAAAGTCGATGGGGAATCCAGATTCACTTAACAACCATGTTACCGACTTAATAAAAGCAATGATTCACTTAACATCCGTGGCTAGAAAAGCTGTAAAATGGGGCAAAACTCACTTAACAAATGTTTCGCTTAGCAACATAAATTTCGGGCTCAATAATGGTCATAAGTCAAGGACTAGCTGTAATTAATAAAATTTGTTATTGCGAAAAGATACCTGTATTGAGTTGTCCCTGGCAGTCTCAAAGCCAGTTATAGTACTCTTCATCACCATCAGCAACTCTTGATCAACTTTGTGAGTCTCAAAAGAAGCTAACAGAATCAAACCAAATGCTGTAGTCTAGACTACGGAGTTTAACAAACATCCTAGAAGAAAACCGACCAATCATTTTCTGGGCTCTTGCCAGAAAAACTGCAAAGACGGACATGCCTGGCCATGAAGACACCAAGAGTTGATCTGCTTCCAAGCCCACCTGTTGATGTACAAATTTATTGTCTTTATTACATAATGTTCAGGGGGTCCACCTGCTGAAGAACCTCAGAACAATCCACAGGATAGTCCCAAACGCCCCTGTGAGTGGAAAGCACACAGCCATTTAGGTTTCATCCCTTTCAGTGGAACGAGATTCCCTGCTGCTCCAGCACTGAGGCGAGAAGGAAAAAAGGGAATTGCCCTGAGTCAGATGCCACCTCACCTAAGTGTGAAAATCTCTGACTTTTGCTAAAATCCCAGCACCTCGCCATCCCTTCTCCCCAGCTTACTCTCATATTCACATCAGCTTTCCTTTTTTTTTTTAAAGAGAGATAAGCTGTATTAAGGGTTTATCTGGACTGCGAATCTCACTCCCACGGTAGCCAATCAGCTACTGGAAGCAGCTGGTACAGTCGTCTGGACTGCGAATCTCATCCTTCAAGTATTTGTCTAATCCCCCTCTAAAGCATCTTAACTGGTGGCCACTCTTACATCCTGAAATAGCAAATTTTATCTTTTTTCACTATGCAGGTTGGGAACAGGCTGCTTCTTGTCTCTCCTGAATCCTTTGCTTGTTCTGCACCATCAGACCTTTGTAGATCCTAGAATTATGAAATACAGAGCAAGTATTGTCTTTATATGATTTCATGTGCCCACTATTGTGTCACCCTTGAGTGTTGCCCCAAATAAGGGTTAGAAACTTTCCCTTTCTTCAAGTATGTTTAGGGAACCAGGACAATACTTTATCTTTTCATAGAAGACTTCTCAACAACCATGTCATCCGTTGGGAATCCCCAACACCATTAAAAAAAAATAACTGAAGAAAACTGTATAACAACCAGAAACTTAATAATAAAAGAAAAAAAGAAGAAGAAGAAAGAAAAACATGCACAACAACCAAAGTATATGGAATTGTTATCCAAGCCATGTTGAACCCCTCTGCCAAATTAATTCATTTCTTGCATTTAGCATCTCAAACCTAGACAGCATACTAAAAAGCAGAGACATCACCCTGCCAATAAAAGTGTGCATAGTCAAGGCTATGGTTTTCCCAGTTGCAATGTATGGCTGTGAAAGTTGGACCATAAGAAAGGCTGAGTGCCAAAGAATTGAGGCCTTTGAACTATGGTGCTGGAGAAGACTCCTGCGAGTCCCTTGGACTGCAAGGCAATCAAACCGGTCAGTCCCAGAGGAGATCAACCCTGACTGCTCTTTAGAAGGCCAGATCCTGAAGATGAAACTCAAATATTTTGGCCACCTAATGAGAAGGAAGGACTCACTGGAGAAGAGCCTAATGCTGGGAAAGATTGAGGGCAAAAGAAGAAAGGGACAACAGAGAACAAGGTGGCTGGCTGGAGTCACTGAAGCAGTAGGCGTGAGCTTAAATGGACTCCAGAGGATGGTAGACGACAGGAAGGTCTGGAGGAACATTGTCCATGGGGTCATGATGGGTTGGGCACTTTGCAACTAACAACAACAAACAACTTTTAGGAAGCAGGTGAGCCCTACTCGGCAGGAAGGAAGGTTTTAGAAGGGAGGGTGGTGTACAGCCTATTAAAAACACAAAGACAAACATCAGTTAAAAATAATTAAAATTATTACATAATTTTGGCTCAGATTTAAAACCCCAAAAATTTTAAACACCCAATTTAAAAATCATTACATTGATAG